ATCCGGTGCATCACGTGATTTGCAAGCACATTTCTATATGAATTTAGAAAACGACAAACCCTAATATACCGCTCGGCAGTTTCGAATTGGGTGGGCCCTGAAAACACCGAATAAAGACCCTGCAAACCTTACTTCGGTTATCGCTTATGGAAGAATCAACTGAGACCGTTAACATAGGTTCGAGTGTCACGGGTATGTGACCTACAATGCAGTAAGCGTATTTTGCAGTGAAAAACTTGGGTTAAGAAAGTCTTTTCAGCAACTGGATCAATGATGTGATCTCGTCTGGCCGATCTGCTGTCACTATTTGACATGCATGTGTGAAGCTGCAAGGCAGTTTCAAGGAAACATACTACCCTCACCTGAATACATTTTACTTTTATTGCGTCTACCCCTTAAGAAAAGATTATTCAGATCAACGGATGTTTTGGATGGTACCTGCCCAGGCAAGACAAGCATGAACAAAAAGAAATGCAACTTTTCGTCCAGAGACGAGTTCAAACTGCTCGATATCCGACTTGGTGGTGATGATGCACGTCAGCACTCTTTATGCTGTTTTTCTTCTTCCAAGTAGTAGCCGGAGTGCGGCCCGTATCAGACGCAAGCAACGCAGTGGACCGTCCCAGTCGGTTGAGTTGTAACGCCAGAATGTGTCTCGAGATGGGTGATGGCTAGGGGTTGGAAAACCTAATAGAACAAGGAACAATACACTGATCTGATAATTCAAGAGGGAGGGTACGAAGATCTGAGAAGAAAGAAGGGACCGAAGTGATAATTAGATCGAGGGGGCGGGCACGATCGCCAGCTCGATCAGGGACACGAGTGGGGAGGTCAACTAGTTGGCTTAGATTATTGACTAAGCGAAGTGTTCGGCTCCACACCCCAAAGTAGAAGTAGCAGATGAATGTGTCAACCATTCCTGATTGTGAACGGTAAAATCTCCCAAAATGGTAACATGGCAGTTGGGGTCGATTGCAAACAAACGTTCAATGTTCGAAGATAGAAAATCAAAGATGAAAGAGTCACCGCTATTGGGGGAACGATAGAGAACAAAAAAGTAATGAAATCGGAGTTTCAGCTACATCAGTTGAAATGCACGATTGAAAAAGTCAAAATTTGGGATCCTGGAGGCGGTGACTGATTGATGAATAAAGGCGCAGACACCAGCTTTGCGTAGAAAGGAGGAATGGAAAGTGTTGTTGGGGAATTGAAGGCGGGTAGCGTCTGACGAGGGGGAGATGTGTTTCGGTCAAAAAAGGACAAGTGGAGAAGAATGGTGCACAGAATCAACATTGCGGTTCAGTCCTCGAATGTTGATGAGGGTGATGAGTGCGTAGAGCGAGCGAGATTTGTGATTTTGTATTGTCATGTTTGTGAGGAAACCGGCAACCATGATCCTGAAACTTGGAGTGGCGGGCCACATAAAACTTTAATAGATCAGGTGTGGTAGTGCACCGGCAGAGCCGCCTACCACATGGATTTCATGGCTCTGTAATGTGCTTCTCGAGCCTGAAAGTGAGAACCTACGCAGTCTAGGGCCCCAAGTGGTTGCTCATCACTCCGGACAGAGGTGTAATTACACGACAAGGTCTACCAGCATTTAACCCTTATTCAGTCAATATTCTTCAGCGGAAGCAAAATAACATAACAGCTTTTATAACGGGATTAAAAGCTTTTTGAAATACCTCAGCAGTAACAAAAAAGAATTCGTTAAGAGGAAAGATAAACCGGTCCAAAAGGAACTCACGTTACGTTTGGAAATGAGCCGCATCATACTGATATCTTTGTCAGAGAAACTGGGACCGGATTCTTTACTCAACGACTGGATATTGTTTGCAATCAGCACAGTACGAAAACTAGCGGATGTGTAACCGCTTCTTTTCCCAGGAAGACATCGATATTGGCCAACTACTTGGACTCTGTCACCAGGCTTAAAAAGATGACGGTTGAGGTATTAGATTATCTTACTTGCACAGCATCTACTAAATCGTTGTCTAACAGAACATCGACTGACCGGGGAAGCTGACCCGCTGGTGCAGTTTCCGGCATTTCCTGAAAGATATAAATGAATATTACTGTATATACCAACCTGAACGGTCAACGATTGGTGATCCTGGTAGACTGAAAGACCATATTCAGTTTCCAGCAAATTTCCCTCATCATCTTTTGTAGGGTAAACACCAGATGACGGAAAGGCCTCCAGACTTGTGAGATCTGCATAGCGCCTTTCGATTGATTTCTTCGTGGCTGGGCAATAATGGACGCTGCAGACCACTTTTGGTCTAATAAGCGAAGCTAGGATAAACTTAATTAATTGGCTTGTGAGATCTACCTTTGGTCACAATGCCTTCCAAACAAACCATATGACCCAGAAGACTAGCGTTTAAGGTCCTTGGAGTGACATGTCTCGACCCAAAGCTGATGTAATGTAATGTAATGTAAATCATAGACACTCACCTTCCTTCAAAACCAACAAAAAAATCATACTTTTGTTTAGCGTAATCAGGATTCACGTTTTGCACGCACTTCTTGAGAGCTTTCTGGCATGCATTCAGCTCTGCGAAAGAATTAGTGAGTAAACTAAAAATAGGACTGGGTAAAAACAGCCCACCTTTTACATCGGACGGGATTTTCCCGACGAAGGTCATTGATATTTATGACCAGCCGCACTGCGTCACGAGTAATCAGAGCATTTATCCGGTCTTTGTACTCATCCTAAAAAGAATCCACTCTGCTTCAAAAAGGAACTAACCGTTTCATCCAGAAATTCCAGGTATTCACGTTCACTCTCCAACAGGGACTGATCAACGGTGAAGTCCATGGTTGTTCAAAGGGTTCGGTTGACTGAAATAGAAAGCATTTGATAACTTAATCGCTGATTTACTTAAAAAGCGATAGTTACTTAGGAATGATATACGAGAGAACCTACAGGGTCGGATATTAAAGCGAAATCAGTTGACGTAGGATTGAGTTAGATCAACGATATCTACGTTACGCTGCATGCGTTCTATAACAATAACGCAAGGACTTTCGTTTTCATTGCATAGAAGAATGTACAGTTAATTTAAAGGAAAGGGAAGACAAAGGACCGTCAGCTGAAAATGAAAAAGCGGTGGAGTGACCAGGGCAGAGTGCTGATTGGCTGAGGTCGAGCAAAATCTCAAGGATTGGTGGTCACCTTGTATACATCTCTACCGTAACTGAAGAAATAAACTAGCAATGTACATTGACAACTGTGAACTCGTGACAAGTTTTGTCTCTTTGGCAAGTCAATTAATTTCACTGCAGTTTTCACAGAAATTAACAATTACGATGAGACTGCACCTTGACTGTGCTGGCTTGGGTACCTGTGTGACACAACAAGCTACACATGACGGCATTTTTTGAGCCAAAGATCTAATCATGTCTGGAAGGTAAATGGGTAGAGATCAAACAAAGTCCAGTCTCCTAGTCCTCCAGGTTGCGGGGTCGACTTGAGTTGACGTCTCAGTCGGTTAAGTGCTGGAAGAGTAATCGATCCAAGTAAATGGGCCTCCATTTCGCCTTAACCGCCTTGCGGTTAGGTTCTTGTCAGAATTAAAGGCTTCGGAAGAGAACCCTAATCGTTCTCCTGCTTAGTGACTAGACACCTTGGCAGTACCCGTCCATCAATTTCTAATGCATACACAAACGAAAAATAATTCTATACTGCATCGGTCCGCGACCGATTATTCAGTGAGGTAGCTCCACCTATTCATGATTAACCACCAAGGTGGCCGTTCTCCTATTCGCGACTTGGAGACGCGCTCGGTAACCCTCAGCTGTGCTATCCGTAGACAGTTCAATGACTACGGACGCTTAAAGCACTTTTGCATCATATGAATTCTCCATCTTCCGCTCGAATTTGCTTTCAACATTTTAGTCTTCATTCTGCACTTTTATCCAAATGGGGCACCAAAAGACTGCAACAAAAACCGGGGCACGAAAGTGTATGGTTATCGGTTGTAAAAATTGAAACTGACTAGTGGTTTACAGCAAGGAGGGTCAACCTCAGTTAGTAAAATAAGGCGGAAGGTATGAGGGGATTTTGTTGGAGAACGAGAAACGGACAATGGGGAGTGAACGGACTGTCACTTAACAAACATTGAAGATGTCACCTCAGCTAGTGATGTAACGTTTGTAAATGGCCAAGCTCGGCGAACAGTCAAAAATTGATTCAGTTCACCCGAGCTGCGAAAACTGATTTCTGAAACTTTGTCTACTGGAACATCTACATCACAGAAGTGACTTTTCATTACGGTCGAAAAGAAGCTGAAACTGTGCCACCGTTATGATTCAGGGTTGTGAAACCCCGAGGTTGCGCGTGGGAGATTCTCATCGATGATTGTGTTGTTCAGCGCTAGTTCAAACTCGCAGAGTTCACCGGATGCCTCGTGTTTCGTAAGCCTATCGGTCGTCTTATTAGCATTCGCTGCTCTCGAGTGAAAGAAATCACAGAGAGGTCAAGCTACTGAGAATAATGAGTTTTTTGAAAGCGGCAAGATTTCAACTATGTCACGGCTACATCGATCGAATATGTCCATCACTTCAATTGTTTGATTGATGTTATGTACAACCCCGGTTTATGTTTCCTTGATCTGATTGGTGTTGACCATGAAGCTGAAGTCAGTTAGCTTTTGCGCAATGTATTCCTTCAGAATGTTTACTCCACTGAGGTCACTTTACTCAGATACTTTTTGCATAGCATTGGTATTTATGGTACATAGGATTCTATTATGACTAAAAAACGGGCTCCATGATCCAGAGCAGTCTGAGGAAGTCTCCAAAAGCCTCAGTATAGTCAGAGGTGGGTGCAGGTTTGCTGCTGGTCACCCTTCCCTTGCACCTCGCGAAATGCTCCCACGCGTCTCGAATAGCCTCTGCTGAGGAAGCCCTACTCACTGCCTTCACGTGGCAGTGTTTTCCCATCAAAGTGAGAGAACGAAAAGCCAACATCCGGGTCTATAACTGGGTTAGCGGACCACTGGTAGTTCACCTAGGGGAGTTGGCCAAGACCCTGTTTCCAAACCTAACATGAGGCGTAAGAACCACACAACCTCCTGGTTGTGGCAGTGGTCACCGACTCGATTGGG